TACATCTTAGCCGTTCCAATTGGACCAGTATTGACAGCTGGACCTGTTGCTGCAAGAGAAGCCCAATTCTTCCTATTCTTGTCCCTTCGGTATACCTGCTGGATTGGGGTTGTATCAATACTCCCCCCAATTTAAGCACCTTGTCCTCAAGGTGGAAATTTGGGACTTGATCCTTGATAACAGTGTAAAGAACCTTGGGATACACCACCCCAAAAGCTAGCTCAAAGGGTGGGAGTGCCCAAGGCCTTATAAAGGCCACATTAGTTGCACATACAACCAATGTGGGACTATATATCTCAACACGCCCCCTCACACAAGAGCCCATTGGGCTTGAAGAGTGGACAATGCAACAGGCTCATCCTACCTGTGCTAAGAAATGCCACAAGAGAAAGTGGGGGGCGGCGAGGCTCTGATACCAAGTTAAATGTAAAAGAATACGTTGTGTATTGATCTGTGTCAGGGAGTTACAATATATAGAGATCCTAATGGGCTTAAGTGTAAGGCCCAAACCTAATCCAAACCTAATCCTAATACAGTCAGAATACAGTCAGACTATTTACGGATAAGACAGAATCCAATCATATCTAATCAAATCTAATCATATCATATCTAATATTCTAACAAACAGAAACAACTTCCCAAGTATTTTCGAATTCAGGGAGATCACACCATTTAATTAAAACTTCCATTGTCCCCATTGAGGATAGACGCCACTCTATCACGTCCTCTGGAAATACCTTTAACTCCCAACCTTCTGAAAGACTAGGAGGCAATGGTTGGGTATTTGGGACAGAAGATGATGCAGGTTTAAGTAACGAAACATGGAATACGGGTGCACTTGGCAATTGTCAGGTAGTTGTAGCATGTATGCAATCTCCCCTACTCTCTCCATAATCGGGTAAGGACCAAAATACCTTGGACTGAGCTTTTCATTGACCCTCCTAGCAATGGTTTTCAATCTATAAGGCTGGAGTTTCAGATACACCATATCTCCTACCAGGAAAGAAAGATCCCTGCGCTTCTGGTTTGCATGTTTGACCATCCGATTCTGGGATTGAACCAAGTTGTGTTGTAATTCGTGTAGAATTAAATCCCTTTCCACCAAAGCTTGAGAGACAGCCTCAATGGCTGAAACAGAATCTGTTCCGCGCAGCAAATTTGGTGGGTCTACACCATAAAGAGCCTTGTAAGGAGTCATTCCCGTGGAATCCTTGTATGTGGTATTGTACCAAAATTCCGCCCAATGAACCCATTTTGGCCACTGTTTTGGTTTTGGGCCACAAAAACAACGAAGATAAACCTCCAAACACCTATTCACCACCTCCGTTTGCCCATTTGTTTGCGGGTGATAAGCTGTGCTGTAATGAAGTTTGGTTCCTGCACTTTTAAAGAGCTCTGTCCAAAAAGAACTCATGAAAACTCGGTCCCTATCTAACACAATGGTCAAAGGAAATCCATGCAATCTGACCACTTCCTTGATGAACAATTCAGCTACCCCTTTTGCTGTATATGGATGGGAGATAGGCAAAAAATGCGCGTACTTGGACAAACGGTCCACTACTACAAAAATGGTGTCCACCCCTCATGCTTTGGGAAGCCCCCCAATGAAATCCATTGAAACGTCAGCCCACACCTTGTTGGGAATTGGTAAAGGTTGCAACAAACCCGCAGGTGTCAAATTTTGGATTTTACTTTGTTGGCAAACAGTGCACACAGCCACATAATCTCGAATACATTTTTTCATACCTTCCCAATACACCATCCCAGCTAACCTCTAGTACGTACGAAAATAACCCGAATGTCCTCCTATACCCGAATCATGAAATTCACTCAAAAGAGGAGAAATCAAACTGGAGTTTTTAGTTAAGACTAACCTGTCCTTGAAGAACAACCTGCCTCCTCTCAACTGAATCCGACATGAGCATCAGCATTTACAAGCAGGTCCTGCACTATGCCTCTCAATTTACCATCTTGCTGCACTTCTCGTTCCAGCAGCTCCAAGTCTGGTAATTGCACCCGAGTTAGGCTGAAAAAATGCTCTTGCCGTGACAGAGCATCGGCCACTAAATTCTCCTTGCCCGGCTGATACTGGATGTCAAAGTCAAAACCTATCAGTTTGGACAGCCACCTTTGTTGTTCCTTTCCTAGAACCTTTTGTTCCAATAAATGCTTTAGGCTTTTCTGGTCAGTTCTCACTACAAAGTGTCTTCCCATCAAGTAGTGCTTCCATTTCTAAATTGCAAGCACTATGGCCATTAACTCCTTCTCGTATACTGACTTGCTCTGAGCCCGTAAGGAAAAACCCTAACTGATATAGGCTAAAGGCCTATTTTCTTGCGTGAGCACAGCACCAATTCCCTTCCCTGAAGTATCGGTCACTACAGTAAATTTTTTACTGAAATCCGGTAATGCCAATACAGAAACAGAGACCATGCAGCCTTTTAATCTCTTAAATGCTTCATCAGCTTCCACATTCCACTTGAATGCATCCTTCTTCAACAAGTTGGTCAGGGGTTTCGCTATTTTTCCGTAGTCCTTGATGAAGCGTCGGTAGTACCCGGTCAACCCCAAAAATCCTCTTAGCCCCTTAACATTTTTTGGTACCGGCCACTCATCCATAGCCTTAAGCTTGTTAGGATCAGCACTAATTCCTTCCTTGGAAATTATATGACCAAGATATTCAACATGATCAGTCCCAAAGCTGCATTTCTTGCGATTTACTACCAGCTGATTTTTTCTTATCACTTCAAACACCTTCCTTAACTGATCTTCGTGCTCCTTCCTACACTTGCTGTAGATTAAGATGTCATCCAAGAAAACCAGAACAAATTTCCTTAAAAACGGCCGCAAGATATCGTTCATTAAGGCCTGAAAAGTTGAAGGAGCGTTGGTCAATCCAAAAGGCATTACGAGGTATTCGTAATGACCTTCATGCATCCGAAACGCGGTCTTTGGTATATCATCTGTTTTCATCCTTATCTGGTGGTAACCAGATTTTAGATCCAACTTAGAAAAAATCGCCAAACCTCCCAATTCATCGAACAACTCTTCCACAACCGGTATTGGAAATTTATCAGGCACGGTGAGCTTGTTGACCGCCCTGTAGTCTACACACACCCGCCAGCTGCCGTCTTTCTTCTTGACTAAGATCACAGGGCTAAACAATGCAATATACCATGAACATGAAGTTTGAGATATTCTAGAAAAACTCTAAACTCACTACCCCATTCTGTTTGTATAGCTTTTATGGGTAGTTTGAAATGGGTGTTAACCATAGAATGAATTTGTTTGAAGACACAGAGTGCCTCAGACTTTTGTTTTAAAGGGTACATCCAAGCATATCTAGTGTTTGCATCAACAAACAAATTAACAAAATATAATAAGAATGGCTTGAGGTTGATTTTATCCGGTCAGGACCCCATAGATAACTGTATATTAGTTCAAATGGTTGATTATATACTGTGGATGAAGGAGAAGATGGTAAGCGATGGGCTTTGCCAATGCAACAAGAATTACAGAAACTTAATATAGTTTTATTATTGAATGTAATTTTACAAGAGGAAAGGACATTCTTTACAGTTTCATTGTAAGGGTGTCCTAGGCGACACTGCCACAAGTAATATACAGAGCAAGGTTCACAACTATGAGCGGTATCATATACATTTGTACAAGGAGTGACTACAACACTAGGACTTTTACATTTATCAAAAACAGAATTGTTACATTGAGATTTGGTAGGTTGACTATCAATACTAGATAATGGCTCTAATGCACGAGTTCCGTCTTGAAGAATATTGATTCTAGAGAAACAATACAAGCCATCACGACCCACAGTTCCATTGAGAAGAATTTTATTGGACCCCTATGATTTAACATACCAAACAATGGGGTGAAATTTGAAAAGCACATGATTATCTTGGGCAAATTTCTTTACACTAATCAGATTCTTCACAATTAAAGGAACATGAAGAAGATTTTTAAGTTGAAGATGTGTTTGCTAATCAGTGGGTGATACAAAATTAGGGGAGCCTATAGCATTATGGTCAAATCTTGTCCGTTTCCAATCAGGACCTTATCTGGCCCTGATAACTATTGGCTTTGTAGCAAATTGAGTGGATTGGCTGTAATGTGATGTGATACTCCATAATCAGGATATCCCCATAATTATGGTAATTCTGGAGTGGGGAGAATACTAGTTTGTTTAGCTAGCATTGCTTGAGGCCGGGCATTCACGTTTGTTGGTCAAACATACTGAAACAGCCTTGGTTGTTCTTGCTGAGGAGTAGCTCCAAAGTATTGAGAATGCATGGCATTTGGTGGAGGAGGAAGGCTGGTTACAAATGCTTCATCAAATCTATACCAGTATGAACGAACATCATGTCCGAATTTGTGGCAGAGCGGGCAGTAGACGTTTGCTCGATTCCCACATCCTCTTCCTCGATTAATCCTGCCATTACTGCTTCCTCAACCTTGATTCAAAGTGTTGGAAGGGCCAGAACCTCTAGAATCAGAGTATGATTCTCCCTGGTTGATGCTGGAGTTCTGGTTCACTAGAACAAAGCCAAACAACACCTCCTTTTCTGTTGTTTCGTTTTCACCTGAGCATGTTGAGCGAGATTAGCAATTGCTGAATTACTTTGTAAATTATCATTTTGCTAAAACAAAAGTTGTTCATGAGCCATTAGCTCTATTGCCAAGTCATCAAGAGAGGTTTGAGAACGAAAGAATTATACTCAGCTAGTAATCCTTCAAGTATATAGTCATATTTTGGAATTGTCTGCGTTCCTTTTTTCATAGATCACAACTCAGATATCAAGTGTCTCGCTTTTGATTTCATCATTCTGTGGAATAATTTGTTGATATTTTCTCATTCACGACAGGTTCTGAAAATGTGGAGAGCAACCACAGGAAGAGAATTTGATCGTGAGTTAACCACTCATTATACCAAGGATTCACCTTGTTATTCGCACAATTCTTCTTTGATATGAACTTTAATGGAATCTTAGGGTTTGCAAGGAAATGATGGAGTTGATGAGAGGCAATGATTAACACTACAATTTGTGCCAAAAGAGATAGTTGTTCTCTGACAATTTGACAAAAATATGATAGTTGAATAGGGATGGAGTCTTCTTCTCCATAGTTGAACCGCTTTGATTATTGTTGATCCAATTTCAGAAGTTGAGCAAATTGAAATGGTTAATAAGGATTCCTGAAGATTACACACAATTTATTACCTACTTTCTTGGACGAGGAGGTGCAACTAGCTTTGAAGATCTTGAGTCCCAAATCCTAGCTCGAGAGACAATGATTGCTAAGTATCAAACCAGTTCCATTTCGTCCTCTGCAAATCTAACACACAAAAATCCAAATCCTCTGTTTGTTCATGTTTCAGGTGTAGCACAACAGGGGATTGTAATTTAGTCCAACAAACTTGGTTACGCTCAATAAAATCCTTTGCAAAACGTTGGAAACTCTTTTGGAGGCACTGTAATTCCTACTCGCGATGGCTGGCATGGTGGAAGAGGCAGAAACCGTGGTGACAACATTGGAGGAAGGTCTTCGCTTCAGTGTCAGCTCTGCTGCAAAAATGGCCATGAGGTGTCCAGTTGTTGGTGGGATTTTGATACGTCTTTCAGAGCTCACCAGCTCCACCTTCCTTCAACCAACAAACTTTTTCGGCGAGTCAACCATATTTTCCGATGTGTTAAACTAACTTTTCGGTAACTCAGTCCAATTTTCCAGTGGGCAAACCAAATTTTCCAGCGTCTCAAGCTAACTATTAGATGGTGGTACTTTCAAACTTTCCAGCAAACCAAGCTCTTCCCTCAGCCACCTTCCAATCTCAATTAAACACTCTATCTACCACTCCAAGACCTGCTAAGTTTATGCGCAGACCTCAACCTCTAATTCCTTAGCTATGAAATGGTTTCCAGGTTCAGGTGCCTAGGGGTTAGGGGTGTAAATGCGCCGAACGGCTTGTTAGGGGCCCAAGGCTTGATTTGCTTTACGCTTGACTTGACCTGCCTTGTTTAATAAATAGAACGCTCAAGCTTTAAAAAAAGTTTGTTTAGCAAGCCTAATTTAATGAGGCTTGGCTTGAAAGACCCTTAGCTGGCCTGATATTTTTTTATAATAAATAATATATTTTGTTCTGGCTAGATAGCATGAAAGATGTAATTATATGTGGACTGCGTAGGTTCTATGATAGTTTTTTTCCTTACGAAGGAATACAAAATTTGATGCATTTATAGTCTCAACATTTGGACAAATGTGAGTTTGGAAAAAATACATTTTATAATTGTAAATGAGCCAAGCCAAGCCTTTAATTTTTCATAAACAAGCCAAGCAAAGCTCAATTTTTTTTCATAGGCTTGGCTCGTTAAAGCTAAAGCTTGGCTCGGCCCAGATCATTGAGGTGCCTCTTACCACGTGACATCTGAGGCTCACAATCTCCTCCAAGGTGAACCATACACTGGACTATAACAGGTTTATGTGGGTAATGGTCAAGGTCTGTCTATTTCCTCCATAGGTTCAACAAAGTTTCTATCTCCACAAATCCCAAAACTATTTTCCACTTACACAACCTACTTATTGTGCCCACAATAACTAAGAACTTGATGAGTGACAAGTTTGCTAGAGACAACCAAGTTTATTGAAGTGGCAGACTTTATTTACACTAAAGGCAATTTCTGCTCTAGTTAGGGTAGCATATCGCAGAGCAAAAATATTTTGTTTGTCTCCAATTAAAATTTCTTGTTTCTGTTTAACAGGAAAATTTGTTGTTCCACAATTAAGTCACTTTTTACAAACGAGGGTAAACATGGTGGTGAAGCTACATTGGAGGCTGTTCGATTGATTGCTGATTATGTCAAAGCTCATAACTGTCAATTACATCCTGATTCCGTTGAGGTATGAGTCTCACCCCTCCTATATTTTGTTTGGAGTCTATACTTTTTCTATTTTCTGTTTTTCTAATCAAGTTGCTGTTGTACATTTTTTAGTGTGATAAAATCATTAAAGCTATTTGAGTGAAGCCCTTTTTATTTTGTCTGGAATGTTTCACTCAACACAAAGCTGTTAAGTGATATTTGTTCTTTTCAATGCTTCTTCAGGTTTTCTTGTCTCTTGCATTTGATGAGGATCTTGGGAAGGCTGAAAAGAAAGTTGAGGATCAGAAATTTAAAAACAAGAAAAGTAAGAAAAGAAAAAACTTTGAGGCATCAAATCAGTTTCCAGAGAATGACAGAAAGAAAAGTAGGCAAGAATCGATCTCTAAGACAAGAGAGGAGGTATTATTTTTTCCCATAAGAATCACTCTGTTCTGGTGTTTGGTGGAGATGAGATTGTAGTGATACTTTCTGTAGGTTGAAGCTGACTACAAGGCTGCCTCCTTTACCCCGGATGTTATGGAGTCGAGACAGATGCAATCTGAAACACTCTCTGCGGTGTTTGAGACATACTTTCGCATTTTGAAGCATACAATGCAGTCCATATTTGCCAGGTGTGTTTTTAAATCATGCATATTACTATACTACAGTGAGACATGGGTGTTCATGGTTTTATAAACCCAGTTGCCCATAGAATGAGATACTTAATCAGCTTAAATACTGATATGGATGGATGGGTTAACTTAAATGAGACTACAAAATAAATAAATGAATACTACAAAATAAATAAATGAATAAAATGACATTCAGCTTAAATAAATGTTCAAAGAATATGGATCCAGTAACACATCCATAGGAGGACAGTTCATCGCAACTTTATTTACCTTTTGCATAACTGGAACCTTGGCAGCTAGTTATTTTCCAGTTCTAGCTATCTTATCCATAAAAAAAAAGTTTCATTTATATGAACTTCACTGTTAAGTTTATGTGCAGTTGTGCATAGAGAAGATGTGCATGAGCTGATGAGCAGGTAGTGTTAATTGTTGAGGGCTGCTTGGATATATAACTGAGAAAGGAAAAGGAAGGTTTACTAAAAATATATCAGTGTAAAGATAATGCTTTGGATATCTCTGTTGGTTTCATATTTTACTATGTTTTGATTTTTGTTTTCTATATATTGTGCTGTTTTTAAATTTTTTTATTCTTTACGTTTTGCTGTTATTTTTTTCTTGCATGTAGTTTTTGTTGCGTTGAACTTTTAATGACTTTTTGCATGAAAATTAGTGAATTTCTGTCATGATGGTTGATAATTTTCTCTCACCCTCTCGCTCAGGCCTGAAACGAACCCTGGGGCATTATCTGCTGCAATGGAGTCGCATCCGTTGCTTGGTCCATGTCTGAAAGGGCTGGCAAAATTTTCACATCTGATTGACATTGATTTCATGGGCGATCTAATGAACCATCTAAAAATACTTGCTTCTGGAAGTAGCAGCTCAGACAGCACTTCTGAGAAGTGTCCGAAATGTTTGACCATGTCCGAACGCCTCCAATGTTGCATTGTTGCTTTTAAAGTGATGAGGAACAATCTTGATGCCTTGAATGTTGATTTACAGGACTTCTTTGTCCACCTTTACAATCTTTTACTTGAATACAGGCCAGGAAGGTATGCATTAAAATACAATATCCCAAAGTAAACCCCCTCCTCCCTCCTTTTTTTTTTTTCTCCCATATGACCAATATGTTCCTGCTTCTGGAAATCTTCAAGACATGCGGGAAAGGTCATTTTTGTGGATACTGATATTAATATACTTGTTCATGTGCACTTCTGTTAGTTTTCTTGTACAAGTATTCATATAAAATTGATAATTATAATAACAAACTATTAAGTTATAAATACAATACATTCTTGGGTCTCAGTCTAACATCTTAAGCTTTTAGATGAGTAGGTATATCATATGGTTAGGAGTTCAGTCTTTTCCACCCTCATATTTTTTATTAAATTATAATTATAGCTTAAGGTAGTGTGTGCTTCTATATGTCAACTGCTAAGAATCATTCCCAGGCCTTCGCCTAAATATGTGTGCTTCTACAATTAGTTAGTTCATTGACATGTTTCTTGGAAAATTGACATTGTTTCACATATGCTTGGTGCGGACATAGATATACATCTATATGCTTGGGAAATTGATATTATTTCAGGGAAAGTGTTATTAGTTCCCCCACTTGTTTTAACTTGATTAGTAAAATTTAAAGCTGGTTTTGATGTTTGTGGGGAATCATAACCATACACCTGTCGTTGCTTTACGTAAAGCGGCCGCAGAAATAATTTTACTATATATATTCTAGTTAATTTATATGTTTCATTTTTTATGAAACAGAGATCAAGGAGAGGTATTAGCAGAAGCTTTCAAGATAATGTTGTGTGATGATAAGCAACATGACATGCAAAAGACAGCTGCATTTATAAAACGTTTGGCTACGTTGTCATTGTGCGTTGGATCTGCAGATTCCATGGCTGGTATGTTTTAATATTTTCTTATATTAACCTTAAGCTGCGTATATGCTACTAACTTTGGAATTAAAACATAGTGGAAAAAGAAGAGAGAAATAAACAGACTCAATATGTAGTTTTCTTTTCAACCTGTTTCAGCATTGGTCACGGTAAAGCATCTCTTTCAGAAGAATGTTAAGTGCAGAAATCTGTTGGAAAATGACATTGGTGGGGGCTCTGTTTCTGGCACTATTCCAGTAAGCTTGCTTCTTTCATGTATTTTTTGTTTGCATTAAAAGGCACATTCATCTCCATTCAGAATCTTTGCTTTATTTTTCTCCAGCTCTATTTTTATAATAGTAATTTAATTAAATGCGGAGAAGCGGGTGTACAACAAGACTGCAGATGTTAATGTATAATCGTAATGGGTCATTTATAAATGAAATAAGGAGAAAAAAAACTGGGTATGCCAAAACAAGAAGGCCTCCATCCCTTATAAAATGGGGATAGGTTATTATTCTACCTACTTTTTTTTATTACCTACCTTACTTTACCTATTCATCTTTAATACTGTTGGATCAGAATCTCAAGAGGAGAGAGAAAGAGTGAGATTCTGATCCATTGATATTGAAGATGAGTAAATAAGGTAAATAAGAAAAAAAAAAGTAGGTAGAATATCTTATTCCTATAAAATATACATAAGTGAAAACTATCGGTGTCTTTTTGTGTTGGCTTTTATGGACTATAACTAACTATACGTGTCTTTTTGATATGCAGAAATATCAACCGTATTCCACAGACCCCAATTTAAGCGGTGCCCTTGCCTCAGTACTTTGGGAACTCAATCTTTTGTCCAAGCATTATCATCCTGCTATATCAGCAATGGCCTCGGGCATTTCAAGCATGAGTAATACTGCAAATAACCAAGTCTTTCTTCTCTCCAAGTCCTCTCCCCAACAAGCTTTTAAGGAAACGTCTCTTGACCAGGAGTTATGTTTCACACAAAATAGCAGTATAAAATTAAATAACAAGAAGAGAAGAACAAATGGCTCTGCTACATCACCACCTTCCATTGGTTCTACAATAGTCACGAGTTCATTCAATGAGGATGAGTTGCGAAGGAAACTTAGTTCCCATTTTATGCTTCTTCATGACATCAAAGAGAATGAAAGGTTGAGAAGTGAGTTGGATAGGACTGCACTATCACTACAGCTATATGAACAATATAAGAAACAAAAGAAGCAACGATCAAAACCAAGTAGATGAGGTTCTATGAATTTTGTCAGCTTCTATCTTCATTTTTTTCCATGGGATCTATCTATTCTTTTCAGTTATTTATATCTGTTGAAATTCCAACTTGTGGCAGAGACTAGAGGTATAAAAGACAGTTTAGGTTTTCAGATTCATGATGGATTTTTTCTTCAAGCACAGGCCTGATAAGCCATTGATATATCATCCTTTAATTGGATGTAAAGTTGATGAAGAAAAATATTTGCATAATGGAAAACATGATCTTGAAAGTGACACGAAGAATCTAGTGAAGGAGACGTGAATTTTAGATTATAATAAATGATGTGCTTTGTGTTCTTCTTAGAGCAAAGCATTTGAATTGGTAAATGTAATATCTCTAATTAATTTTGTTAGCCAAACAACCAGGAGATTTACATGTAACCTTTAACTAAGAAGGGTGGGGAATAAGGTAGTGCACTCCCACTAGGGTTGAAATCTGTTGATGATGAAGTTTTGGTCTGGGTGGAGGATGCACCTCAAATTGCTGGACACTTAGCTTAAGTGAATGTAATTGTCCCCGTTTTTAGTTAATGGCATTCTGTTTTTTGACGTAAACAAAAAAAAAAAAATCTTAATTTTTTTTTTTCACCTACATTCTATTAAAAAAAAAAATCCAAAAATTTACTTTCATTAAACAGTTTTAAAAATTAAAAATAAGTCTGAATTTGTAATCTCAAACACCTATCTCTAACAAAGTGTCATTTCGGGGGCATTAAAATACAAATTGCAAAATAATAAATGTTTTTTAATTTTTCTTTGTCAATGTACATTTAAAAAAAGATCGAAAATCAACATAGATTACAATGAAGGGAAATAAAGTGAGGAAGATTGAAGGTAATGGTAAAGTGACGCAGGGTTTGAGTAGTTTGTATTAAGTTATTGTATTAAGTTATGAGTTCAATTTTTACTATTATATCAAAAAAAGTGAAGAAGATTGAGTGGAGCATGCTTTGTGATTGACCATTGTGTTCTTGTATTTAAATTTTTTATCACTTTGTTCCCTTTTTAAAACTATTTATTAATTGTAACATTTTATCAAAATTAGAGATGTGCAAAAGAACCAAAAGAATTAAACTTGAACTGAATTGTACTTAAAAGAACTCATTTTAAAAAACTTGTTCATGAAATGAGCTGCTTTTTAAAAATCAATTCATGAACCGAACTGCTTTTAAAAAATTAGTTTATGAACTGAATTGATTTTTTTTTTCTCTATTTTTTTCTTTTATTTGTTTATTTAGTCTTTTTTCTTTATTTTTATTATTTTTCTTTAATTTTATTTTCTTTATTTTCTTATTTATCTTTATATTTACTTTATTTTCTCTTATTTTTCTTTTTAAAAAAAAATTCTATTATCATTTATAATATTTTTTTTATCTTTTTATTCTCAATGTTTTCATACTTTTCATTTGAGTTCATAATAGATTTTTTATAGCTTTAAAAACCAGTTCAGAACTGGTTGATACCATTTTGAATTCGTTATAAACCAATTCATAACTGGTTAAAAAAATAGATTAGTTCTCCGAACTGAACTGTTCTTAAAGAAAATCGAACCAAATTAAATTGTGCACACCTCTAATAACAGGTTGGTCTTGTGCTTGTCTTCAGGTTCTAGACATATTATACTGACAACAGGTTTAAGGGCGTGCAAATGAACCAATAGAACTGAATTATATTGTGAACTGATCTGCATTTAAAATAATTGATTTTTAAAGTGAGGAAGATTGAAAGCCACTGGAATTGGTACAACGGTGAAGGATTTGGGTAGTTTGTATTAAGTTATGAGTTCAATTCCCACCATTGTATAAAAAAAGTGAGTAATATTGAGTGGAGCATGGTTTGTGCTTGACCATTGTGTTCTTGTATTTAATTTTTTTTTATCACTTTGACCCTCTTTTAAAAGTATTTGTTAATTGTAACCTTTTATCAAAATTAGGGGTATACAAAAGAACCAAAAGAAATAAACTATAAATTGAACTGAATTGCACTTAAAAGAATTGATTTTAAAAATCAGTTCACAGGTGCAATATTGTAGTTCTTAGTCTGTGAAGATACGTTGTTAGGTGTTCCACTTTTTTTGTTCCATTGAAAAATGAGTTGATTTTTCAAAAATCAATTCATGAACCGAACTGTTTATAAAAAATCAGTTCATGAATCAAATTAGTCTTTTTTTTCTTATTTATTTATTTAGTGTCATTTTTTCTTTATTTTTATTACTTTATTTCTTTAATTTTTTATTTTTACTTTACTTTTATTTTTTTATTTTTCTTTATTTTTATTACTTTATTTCTTTAATTTTTTATTTTTAATTTACTTTTATTTTTTTCTCTTATTTATGTTTATATTTATTTTATTTTATGTTTTTTAATTGTTTATTTCTTTTTTTTTAAAAAAAAAAATTCTATTATCATTTATATTTTTTTTTATCTTCTTATTCTCAATCTTTTCATGCTTTTCATTTGGGTTCATAATTGTTTTTTTCTAGATTTAAAAACCAATTCAGAACTGGTTGATAACCATTTTGAGCTAATTATGAACCAATTCATAGCTTGTTAAAATAAAAAAACCAGTTCTCCGAATTGAATTTTCTCAAAGAAAATTGAACTGAACTGAATTGTGTACACCGTTAATAACAGTCATGCTGATCTTCAGATTCAAGACATATTATACTGACAACAATTTTTTTTCTTCTCTACTTTTCAATCATTTTTCTTTTTCTCTCTCTATTTCTCTTATCTTATTTATTGTCTTTTTTTCTTTCTTTCATTTTTTTTATTTTTTTCTTAATATTTTTCTCTCTTATGTGTTTTTATTTTTACTTTATTTTTTAATTATTTATTATTTTTTTAGTTTCTAGTATCATTTATAATTTTTTTTTTTATCTTTTTTTCTTCAGTTTTTTCATACTTTTTCTTTCAGTTTAAAACTCATTTTAAAAATCAATCCTAAATTGATTCAAGATCTCAGAACCAGTTATAAACAGAACTAAATTGGTTTGAAAAAATAAACCAATTCAATTCTCTGAAATGAATTATTTTTTCCAGTTTAGTTCGTTCGATAAAGAAAAAAGGAAACGAACTGAACCGTGCACACCCCTAATCAAAACTATGTACCAATCTGTCTCTATTTACCATGTTGACAGCAAGTTACTAGAGTAACTGGGCCAGTTACTCGAGTAACCGGCTCAGTTACTCTTGTAACTCAGGCAAGTAAGCAACTAAAATTTGGATCCACGAATAATTTTGATTCAAACCACGTTCTAATGTCTTAAACATGTATAAATAGAATTCGAATGAGTGTTTGTGGGTCCTTTACTATTGAGGACATTCCCCTTCAATTCAAGGCGTGAAAACATGATTTTCTATTGATTTTCAATATGACTTGATAAATTGGGTTCATTTTTTTTATTAATCCATGTTTATTATTATATCATGCACACACATATTTGAACTTTATATATGGGTTTGAGGGTCAAAACAACTGAGAACAATCTTCATCCAAGCTCTTTATACCCTACACTAAATTTACTAAAGTAAGTTTTATGTACATTTTTATGCTCATGTTGCATTGCTTTCAAAGATTTATGCCCATTTACTTTGTCATTTCTGAAATCCATGAAGGGAGCATCTTTTTGACCAAATCCCCATGGAAATCACATAGATCTCAAAAAGTTACACGAAATAGAAAAAGACACATGATTTGGACAATTGAGTCAAATATTATGCCCTTTCAAAGTTTACACAATTTTAGGGTATAAGACTTTATCCCCATGAACTTTATTTTAAATTAACGGATTTTGAGTTCTCCATGAACTTTGTTTCCTACATTTTTCATTTTGCTCGGCTATATTTGATGTGATTTGATGCTTGTTTTGGTCCTCTGTTGCGAGTTAATCAAACTTAATTTCAGATGGATTTGGGAAACATATTATGACTAAAATGAAATTTACGATTGGGAAGGACTAAAAGATAAATAAGATAATAGATTTTGTTATAAATTCAATAAACTTAATATACTAGTTAATATTAGAGGTGCATCCCCACACCACATCCTTTATAGAAGGTGGACTATAAATCTTCTTTAATGCGACGTAACTAGCCACCAACTAGTCCTAACATGAAAGGAAGACGTTTATAGGATATCTAAAATTCAAAGCACGAACAAGAATGTGAAAAAGAAGAAGCATTTTTCATGATTTAAAGGATACATTTCTGTACATTCTATCATAGGTTGTTTGAGTTGACTTATAAGTTTTTTTAACTAATTCATTTTTAATTTAATTAAAAATAAATGATTGTTCATATTAAATAAATAAAATCATAACAAGCAAGAGTTAAAAAGATTTTTCTTCTTTTATTTTATTTAATAAAATAAAAATCTTCTCCTATGCGTTTTCTGGTCGGCCTCTCTAGGCCCAACGAATAGGTCCGAATGCTAATGATCCATGTCTAGAACTTTCTAGATAGCACTCCATAATAAGCCATGGAGCCTCATAATAGAATACCCCTTCCTCGTTGCACAACTGCCCATCGTACACTGCAAATGGATGCAAAACGCCTCACTGCAATGTCGAGGCAAGGCTAATTGTGTGCTCAACTTTTCCCCTCTCTCTCTCTCTCCTGCGCTTGAGGAATACCCACTCCCCTATATATACCTCTCTTCTCCCATTGAAGAGGCACCAAATTTTTCCTACTTTCATGAGCTGTTACTCTGCTGAGATTTAGAGTCACCAAAACTGAAACACACCTCCTCCGTTGCAAAAATATCTCCTTAACACTTGGGTAGCTCATATTGTACCTTGGTCTATACCATTACTACTTTAAGTATCCCTATATTGACATACTTAACATCTCGGAAGATACATTCTTGGTTCTAAATTCATAATAGTTCAATACGAATGAAAAATAAAAATTATATTTAGGATAACTCTACTTAAACCCTAATGATATTTGTATTCTTAAATGATGTGACATAAAATATGGTTAAGTAGTATAATCATTGTATAATTTAGTTAATCATATTATATCTAGGTATAAGGTTAATACTTACAGAGTTACAGGGGTTGTTAGAGGTGGCAATATGAGTTGAACCCGACTGGTCAACCGGCCAACTTGCCAAAACGGGACGGGTTGGGTTATACATTACAAGCCACCAACCCGCCTCAACTCGCTCCGCTTAGTTGTGTGTCAAAACGGGTTGGTGGCCAGTTGGCCCGCGGGTTATTTTATTTTTTTACTATTAGGTAGTATTTTATTCGTCACTAAACTTTTCTGATATAATTTTTTTTTATTTTAGTACTCCTCTAGAAAAAATAAAGAAGAAAACCTTTGTTTATGCCAAAAGTTATCCATATATGGAGGCAAAAATAAATTTCTAAAAAAAATCGGATTGAATATTAGTTTATATTTAGGCTTGAGATTGAGAAAAAAATTAAAGGAAGTGTGAAATAAAAATAAATATTTTTATAAATTTTATATAATTTATTATTATTTTTTAATTATTTTTTATTTTTTAAATGTGTTGACCCGCTAACTCACCTTATAAAGTTGATATTTCTAACCCATGACAAGTCAACCCATCTGTCACATTTTTGACGAATTGAGTTCGGGACAGCCCGTTTTTCCTCCTCCAGTGATTGTGCATAATCTTTGTTTTTTTTACACAAAATTGGTAGGGCATTGTGCACATGTGGTTAATTTTTTTAGACCCACACTCTCACGGGTGTTTAATGGAACGTGTTTCTCGTCCAGGCAAAAGTTTTTTTTTTAATTATTTCGCGAAAAGACACGAAGGTGAATCTCGAATTCTACTCTTCACGACGGGTCCACTTAAGGGCCCACTTTCATTATCACGTATTCATAATCTTGGAAAGAACAATGCCCATTTTCCACGTGGGTTGAATTGGGCCGTTTAAGAATTTATTATATTTTTATATCAATCTTTTTTTAAATTTAAAAAGTTACAATATGTATTTATTGTGTTAGAATCTAACTTGTATTTTAAAAAACTAAGAATAATAAAGTTAAAATTATAGTTTATCTAATCATAAGATTTTTTTTTAAGTAAATATTCTTTTGGATCCTCAACAAAAAAATACGGAATTCATTTTAATTTTTTTTAAAAAAATACTCATATTAGTTCTTTTTGAAGAACTAATATGTGTCTTCTTTAAATTTCAAAGGAATTACAATTTCAAAGAACTGAAATTTCAGAAGAACCATAAGTTGAATTTTTTTTCTTTTAAGAAATTAAAATGAGTTTCGTGTTTTTTTTGTCGAGGACCTAAAATGAATTTATTTATTTTTTAATTCTATTATCTTAATTATTCTTTTGGGACGAATCATGTCCCCATGTATTCTCGAACTGGAAAAAAAAAGGTCCACAGAAAAATGTGAAATTAATCCCAAATTTAACTGCATTTTAACTATCCAACTTTGTGCCAAAAAATGAGACTCATAAGAATTCTAGCATCATATTACATTAAATAAAATCATGAATAGTTTTATGTGAGATAAGATTCCTAACGCAATCATTGAAAAGGACTAGCACGAAAATAGCCAAAACCAAATCAAATCATGTCTTTCCCAATGTTTGGGGTGCCTCATGATGTGGTGTGTGCATCGCAGGCAATATAGTAATTTAACATTCATTTGTCTAATGATTCCATAGTGGAAACTTTTTATGAGCACAATAAACTGCTAAGATGAATATGATGGAAAGTGAGGGAATGATTCTAGTCTTGAACGTGAAACACGCTAACTGTACAAGTAAACCACGGTTCCAAGCTTTTATCCTTTCAATTCTGATCTCGAGTAATCTCAGATACTTTCATATTCTTAACTTCTTGTTGAGGTTTCTGTCGCATATTATATTGTTTACTTTTTTCATATTATTATTAATAAATTAGACACATGGGTTTAGTTTAACTTCTCCAAGTCATTAATATGCATATTTAATAGTTTTCTTTCTTTCTTTTTAATCTGGGTAAGAGGTATCAAATTTTAGAATCGAAACTGTAGATACCATAGACTGTTCTTGTTGAGTGCTGAAATCTAGTTTTGTGGGGTTCTGTTTCTGTTTCTGTTTCTTTGTTGTTGTTTTTTTTTTTCTTCCTTGAATGAGTTCTTATTTCTTAGAACCTTTGGACTCATGGGTTTGTCTTCTTTTATCCAACTATGATGATGCTTTGTTTCTGTTGTTCCTCTTTGTGCTGCTTCAGAAACGGTTTGACTTTTGCACTTGACTTGTGCTTAGTATAAACTGAAGAACTGGAGCTGAAAATTGCACACTTTTGGAGCTTTTTCTCAAAGTGAGGACCCTCTTGGAAGCATGGTTATGGTCAAGACATTGTTCCTCTTGGTTTTCTGCATGTGGGTTCCCTCAGAAGTTGTGGGGAGGACGGTACCTTCAGCTACCACTGTGAATTCTACTGTTTCTTCAAGACCCAAGGTTGTGAAATTTGGAGCCCTATTTAATTTTAATTCTGTCATTGGAAGATCAGCAAAACCTGCTATTGTGGCTGCTGTTGATGATGTTAATTCTAATACAACCATTCTCCCTGGCATTGAGCTGCAAGTTATTTTACATGATACACAATGCAATGCGTTTCTTGGAACAGTGGAAGGTATTTGCCAAAACTTCAAATTTTGATTAGCTACAAGATGATGTTTCTTTTTTTAATTGAAGACTACTTTTGGAATAAAACTACCAACAAAAAAGAAACGGTTTTTATAGGAATATACTTATCAATGTAAGAGTAAATGGTCAATAACATTAGTTTTAAGTAAAACCAATATCAATTAAAATGTAAAAAAGTGTGATTTTAATTTAAAGAGTATATTATATGGTTTCTTGCAGAATTACTTTTCTTTGAAGTTTGCCTCTCAATCTTGTTAAATCACATTCTGCTTGACTGACTACCTGCACCAAGAAATGAAACTTTACTGGACCAAAAACATTAAGCTTGATTAATATAAATATCCCCTTATTGTCCCCTTTAGTAAGCCTGCAGCAGTGGTAAAATGGCTCCTTTGTGACTAAAAGATCATAGGTTTGAATTTGAGAAATAGTTTCTTTGCAAATATGTAAGGGTAAGGCCGCATATAAGGATTTCCCTCATCCCTATCCTCCCTAGTCGAGGTTTAATGGGGAGTGGTTTATTGGCCCCTCTATGTATTTGTCTGTGGGGAAAAGAAGCAAACAAGCTTGATTAATCTTGTTGATCATGTAGCTCTGCAGTTAATGCAGAATGATGTGGTTGCTGTCGTTGGTCCACAATCCTCTGGAGTGGCTCATATCATCTCTCATGTTGTTAATGAACTCCATGTACCTCTTCTGTCGTTCGGGGCAACTGATCCAACACTATCTGCTTTGCAATACCCATATTTTATCCGCACTACCCAAAGTGACTATTATCAGATGTTTGCTATTGCAGACTTTGTTGATTATTACAGATGGAAGGAGGTAATTGCTATTTTTGTAGATGATGATAATGGAAGGAATGGAATTTCTGTATTGGGTGATGCATTATCAAAGAAACGTGCCAAGATCTCTTACAAGGCTGCATTCCCTCTTGGAGCCACAGAAAGTGATATCAGTGACTTGTTAAATGAAGTAAACTTAATGGAATCACGGGTCTATGTTCTGCATGTTAATCCTGATTCCGGTTTAGCAATCTTTTCTATTGCCGACAAGCTACGAATGATGAGCAATGGTTATGTTTGGATTGCAACAGATTGGCTTCCTTCAGTGCTGGATTCGTTAGAGCCTGCTAACACTAACACAATGGATCATTTACAAGGGGTTGTGGCTTTTCGTCATCACATTCCTGATACTTATCTCAAAAAGAGTTTTGTCTCAAGGATGAAAAGCCCTAAAGCCAAGGACACTGCAAGCTTCAATTCTTATGCATTTTATGCATATGATTCTGTTTGGTTAGCAGCTCATGCCCTTGATGTTTTTCTCAATGAAGGTGGGAATATATCTTTCTCCAATGACCCTAAGTTGCGTGACACAAATGGAAGCATGTTGCATTTAGCATCACTTCGTACTTTTGATGGTGGCTCACAGTTTCTCCAGACAATTTTGAGAATAAATTTCACTGGTCTGAGTGGTCAAATTGAGTTTGACATGGATAAGAATTTAATTCATCCAGCATATGATATTCTTAATATTGGTGGTACTGGATCCCGTAGAATTGGTTATTGGTCTAATCACTCTGGTCTTTCAGTTATAGCACCTGAAATTTTGTATATGAAAAAATCATCTAACACTTCTTCAACGAGCAATCAACAACTATACAGTGTTTTATGGCCTGGTGAGGCTACAGCTACACCTAAGGGATGGGTATTTCCCAACAATGGAAAGCCACTGAGAATAGCAGTGCCAAACCGGGTAAGCTTCAAGGAGTTTGTTGCTAAAGACAAGAACCCACCATGGGTACAAGGCTATAGCATTGATATCTTTGAAGCAGCCTTAAACTTGTTGCCTTATCCTGTCCCAAGACAATATATATTATATGGAAATGGCGAAAGGAATCCTAACTACAATGAGCTCGTGGAACAGGTTGCACAAAATGTGAGTTTCTAAATCTTATGCAAGCATTGATAATGTATGGTCTAACAAGGACTGCAAGTAGCCATAATATGGATTCCAGTTGTGGATATTTTTAAATGTGGTATCTATAAGATTGATTTGAAATAGGGTATCTGATTTCCATGAGTGGTTCAAGGACATATAGAACACTGCTATGATTTTCATATTCTGGTAATTATGTTAATTTGGTCCTTTCCTTGTTCAGAACTTTGATGCAGCTGTTGGAGATGTTACAATTGTCACAAACAGGACAAGGATTGTGGATTTTACTCAACCTTTCTTGGAATCAGGGCTTGTTGTTGTTGTTCCTGTCAAGGAGGAGAAGTCAAGCCCTTGGTCTTTCCTTGAGCCATTCACTACTCAAATGTGGTGTGTCACTGGTGCTTTTTTTTTTTTTGTGGGAGCTGTTGTGTGGATTCTTGAGCACCGGCTCAATCCTGAGTTCCGTGGGCCACCAAGAAAGCAACTTATCACAATCTTTTGGTTAGTTTGTTTTAAGTTTTTATCCATTCCAAAACATTGTTTATCCGTGAAGATGATAAAAGTTCCTTTTTTAGCTTTAGGAGGTGTATGACTTACTCTAAAATTAAGTGATATTTTTGCTGAGATTAGCTCCTTTTTTTGCAGGTTTAGTTTATCAACAATGTTTTTCTCACACAGTACGTACCCTATAGATTCTCATTATCCTTATTTTGTATGGTACATTGTAAAATTCTCTGACTTGATTGCTTCTTTGACTTGGCATAGGAGAGAACACTATGAGTGCTCTTGGGAGATTGGTGCTAATCATATGGCTCTTTGTGGTGTTAATTATCAATTCAAGCTACACAGCTAGCTTGACATCTATCCTCACTGTGCAGAAACTGTCATCACAAATTGCAGGAATTGACAGCTTGATCTCGAGTACTCAACCGATTGGAATTCAAGATGGGTCATTTGCACGGAAGTATCTGATAGAGGAACTCCATATAGCCGAATCTAGGATAGTTACATTGAAAAACATGCAGGATTATATTGATGCTCTTGAGCGTGGTCCAAGTGGTGGAGGGGTTGTGGCAATTGTTGATGAGCTTCCTTATATTGAGATCTTGATGTCCAGCGCCAACTGTAAGTTCAGAAATGTTGGACAGGAATTCACAAAAAGTGGCTGGGGATTTGTAAGTAATCTCTAGTTGCATGTCAATGGTTCATGATTCTATATGTTTATCCATAAGCTAAGTTTAATACTAATCACGGATTTTAATGTTTTTATAGAACACTAGACAGTTAGAACGTCTCTCTAAAGAGAAAATTACTTTACAAATGGTGATTTGAAAACATTTTATATTTTCTACTAATATCTAAAAATAAAAGTAAAGGGTGATAAGGTTGCTCCTTGTGACCATGGGTTCGTTTCTGGGAAACAATCTTTTTAAAAAAATACAAGGTTAATACTGCATACAATCACTTGAAATAAAAGGGTATTTGAAATATTATTGAATCGTATTTGAATCTGTACATAGGGGTCTCTATTTATAGAGACTTCTTGACCTAATTTTGACCTAATGGGCTTGGCCCAATATACAAGTAACGGACTAAATAAATACAAATAAATGACTACATAATTACTAATAAATGACTACATAATTATTACTTAATACAAATAAATGACTACATAATTACTAATAAATGACTACATAATTACTATTTACAACACTCCCCCTCAAGCTGAGGAATAGATATTTATCATTCCCAGCTTGCTAGCAAGTTCTTGAAATCTATCTGAAGGAAGCCCCTTTGTCAATAGATCAGCTAATTGACGCCCAGTGGGAATGTATGGAGTGGTAATCAACCCGCTATCAAGTTTCTCTTTGATGAAATGGCGGTCGACCTCAATATGTTTAGTCCGATCATGTTGAACTGGATTATGAGCTATACAAATAGCGGACTTATTATCACATAGCAGCTTCATAGGTCCCTCACATTTTATTTTTAGATCATCAAGTACAATTTTCAGCCACAGTAACTCACAAATGCCTTGAGCCATAGCTCGAAATTCAGCTTCTGCACTTGATCTGGCGACACATCTTGTTTCTTACTTCTCCATGTCACCAAGTTACCACAAAGAAACATGCAATAACCAGTGGTAGAACGACGGTCAGTCACGGATCCAGCATAATCAGCATCTGTGTAGACTTCTAAAGATAGATTGCCATCACGTCGGAATAACAACCCTTTACCAGGAGTACCTTTCAGATACTGAAGAACTCTCTCTACTGCCTGCATATGTTTCTCCTTTGGATCGTGCATAAACTGACTGACAACACTAACAGCATAAGCTAAGTCTGGTCTAGTATGGGCCAAATATATCAATTTCCCAACTAGCCGTTGATATTGTCCTTTATCAACTGGAGGACTCTCCTCTTCATAACCCATCTTGTGATTCTGCTCAATAGGAGTATTAGAGGGTTTACACGCGAGCTTTCCTGCTTCTTTGAGAAGATCAAGAACATATTTCCTCTGGCTGATAAAGATTCCTTTGCTCGAATGAGCTACTTCTATCCCTAGGAAATATCTCAGTTTCCCAAGGTCTTTGACTTCAAACTCAGAGGCAAGCTGTGTTTGCAGAATCTGTCTCTCCACAAAATCATCACCTGTGATAATAATATCATCAACATATACAAGGAGCACAGTAAGCTTCCCATTTTGGGAGTTTTGAAAAAAAGAGTGTGATCTCCTTGACTTTGTTTATATCCTAAGGTCATCATAACCTTAGTAAACTTTCCAAACCAGGCACGAGGTGACTGCTTCAATCCATACAAGGCCTTTTTTAATTTACAAACTTTATTTTCTCCCTTCACAGAATCAAAATCAGGCGGAATTTCCATGTAGACTTCTTCTTCTAACTCACCATTGAGGAAAGCATTCTTCACATCAAATTGGTTTATATCCCAATTGTAATGGGCAGCAAGAGATAACAAAACTCTCACCGTATTCATCTTTGCAACTGGAGCAAATGTTTCTTCATAATCAATGCCATAGGTTTGAGAGTAACCTTTGGCAACTAATCGAGCTTTGTATCTCTCAAGAGTTCCATCAGAATTATATTTCAGGGCATCAGGGGTGGCAATTTATGACACGACCCGCCAACCCAACCCGAACCCGACACGAAATTTTCGTGTTCGGGTCAACCCATTTATTAAATGGGTCGTGTCCGGGTTGAAGAAAAACAACACGAAAAAATTCGTGTCGGGTTACAGGTTAACCCGCAAACCTGCCGACCCGCAAAATTATAAGGATGTTCTGGTAATTTTATGTCATGGTATAAAAACTAAATGTTAGGGTTTTAACTCTTCTCTCTCTTCACTCTCCGCGGCCCAACCCTTTTCTCTCTCACTTCCAAAGTTCAAACACTCAGCTACTGATCTTTCTCTCTGTTGGCGATCTCTCGTATGTCTGCAAACCTTCTTCCACCTCAACCAAAAGGTACGCATACTGTCCGCAAATTTATTAAGTCTTCTTTCATTTTTTTGCTTTATTCACTTTTGTCGTTTTATATATATACTGTATATATATATATATTTTGTTCCTGACTTCCTGCGAATGAAATCTATACCCACCGTTGCTTTACTGAATATATATATATATATATTCAATGGATCATGTTTCACGGATTCAAGAGTTATAATTTTCAAAATTTGTGAGTAACCCACCGTATATTGTTATGCAGTTTTCACAGGTTTCAATTTTAAAATTTTCTTTTTAAAATAAAAATAAAATAATATATCACATTCCTTTGTTATGCCCACCGTATAGCTGTGCTGGTTGTTAGTTATTTGGGTTTTATTTGTTATATAAATTTCTTATCTATATTATTGTTATTATTTGTACATGTAGATGGATTTTGAATCACAAAACAACGCTGAAATGATGGACCAGGAGGTTGATGTTCGAAATGCAAATGTTGAGGATGCTAATAAAGTCGGTTCGTGTCGGGTTGGGTCGTGTTGTGTGGTGTAAAAGCAGGTTGTACTCAAATTCGGGTTGTATCGTGTCAACCCGTTTAATTAACAGGTCGTGTTCGGGTTCAGTTTTATAACACGAATTGTTAATCGTGTCGTGTTCGGGTTGAGCTTATTCGTGTTCGTGTCAGAACCAGGTTGACCCGAACCCGACCCAAGAACACGAATTGCCACCCCTACAGGCATAAACCCATCTGCACCCTACTGCTTTCTTTCCAGTAGGTCTATCAATAACCTCCCATGTTTTATTTTTCTCCAATGCATTCATCTCCTCTTGCATGGCTTGAGCCCAATTCCTATCTTTCAAGGCTTCATGTACTGATTTTGGGATTGCAATAGAGTCTAGTGCTGAAACAAAGCTTTTGTGCTGCACAGAAAGATTAGCAGAGGAAACAAACTGGGAGATAGGATATTGAGTACAAGAGGGACAAGATTTCTTGGGACAAGCTCTTTTTCCTTTTCTAAGAGCAATGGGTAAATCATCAGAATCAGTAGTAATGGGTAAGTCATCAGAAGTATTAACATCATGTTCAGAAATATGAGATTCAGGACTTACCAGTGGTTCAGACGATTGAGGTTGCTGCTGAGACAATGTGGGTTGTTTCCTTCTTTCAGGTGTCATAATCTTTCGTATCTCTGGTGTACTTGATGTATCAATCACATGAGAATCAGTCACAGGAGGATTACTCACAAGAGGATCAGACACAGGAGGAACAGACAAAGGAGAAACAGACACAGGAGGAACAGGACCAGGTGGAGGATACACTGACATAGGTAAAGGAGTAGACACTGATGATTCAAACTCAAAGAAGGGAGGTGATGAGATTTCTGGTGAAGGATTCTCCCCCTGAAGATGAGGACCTTGGAAAAAGGACTCAGATTCCTGAAATGTAACATCCATAGAAACAAAAAATTTCCTACTACTAGGGTGATAGCACTTGTAGCCCTTCTTATCAGGAACATAACCAAGAAAAACACATTTAATAGCCCTAGGGTCCAACTTACTGCGATGATGTTTATGAACATGAACAAAAGCAACACACCCAAACACTCGTGGAGGAAGACTCATCATAGTTGGAATAGAAGGGAAAAAAAAGTCATAGAGTGAATAGGACTTACATGGTCAAGTACCCGAGTGGGTAAACGGTTGATCAAGAATGCTGCAGTAAGAATAACATCTCCCCAATAGTATTTGGGTACATGTGTCTGAAACATTAATGCACGAGCCACTTCAAGAAGGTGACGATTTTTTCTTTCAGCAACCCCATTCTGTTAGGGGGTGTCAACACAAGTAAGTTCATGAATCATACCGTTATTTCTTATAAATTGGGAAAAGCTATGATTAACATATTCAATACCATTATCTGTTCTTAGTCTCTTGAGTTTTTTACCAAACTGGGTCTCAATCATTTTATAAAATTGAAAGAACAGTTGTGGTACCTCAGACTTTTCACGCATTAAGTACACCCAAGTTACACGAGTGCAATCATCAATAAAAGAAACAAACCATCTATTTCCAGAACCATGAGGGACTTTAGAGGGACCCCAAACATCAGAATGAATAAGATCAAAAGGTTCAACACTCTTAGTAATACTAGAAGGAAAAGACACACGATGATGCTTAGCAAATTCACAAACATCACAATGAAAAGACTCAACAGATTTAGACAAAAACAATGACGGAAATAAAGATTTGAGTAAACTAAATGGAGGATGACCTAAGCGCTTATGATGAAGCCAAATCAAAGAATTAGCAGTTGATTGACCATGAGACATCAAGATGTGATTTGTTACTTTATTTGCAGGAGATTGTGACATCAGATAGTACAGCCCACCTTGCTCTTTAGCACTACCAATCGCCTTCCCCGTGGCGAGATCCTGAAAAACACAATGGGTAGGATAGAAGGTTACAGTACAATTCAAATCTTTTGTAATTTTATGAATAGAAAGAAGATTCGTGGAGAGTTTAGGAACATGAAGAACATCCTTAAGATGTAAGGACTGCTGTAAGTTTATGTCACCAGATCCCGCAACTGATGTATGAGAGCCATCAGCTACGGCTATTGTATGAGTTCCAATGGTAGGATGATAAGAGGTAAAGGAGTCAGCACAACAAGCCATATGATCAGTAGCACCAGAATCAACAACCCAAGAATGTTTAAAATCATTACATGAAGAAAGGAAATAATAAGTTTTGGAGCTCATACCAGTCATAGTCAAAGCACTAGTATCAGATGGCTTACTCATAGAATCAAGAATGGTTCGGAGCCGTTCCAACTCATCTGGACGAAATGCAGGTTGGGTCTTATTAGGTGTAGGAGTTATTTCAGAGGAAGTAAAATGCGCTTGACCACGCAACTTTGCCATCTTTTCTAAGACAAATTGCTTTCCATAAAGGCGAAAGCATAAATCCTTGATATGACCTGTTCTTTTACAATAAGAACACCATCGATCATCTCTCTTAGGTCTAGAAGAGGTACCATCATAAAATTTTGAAAAAGAACTCCTTTGAGAAGAGGCCATACTGCACAGAAAATGGTCAAAGAAAAGCTCCAAGAAGCCAAAAAATCACAAATAAATACCAAACGATGTCCGATCAAAGAGAGGAGCACAGATCCAGAAAGAGGATGAAGGGACGATCAAGATAGCGGTGGTCCGATCCGGAAAAATGATCTCACGCGCCGCCACGCGCCGGTGAGATTGGCTGCACGTGGACTTCACTCGCGGTTGAAGGGGCGGCGCGTGTGGGCGCGTGCGGTGGCCGTCCGGTCTGAAATTTCTGGAGCAACGTCGTCCGGTGAGCGCGGTTTTTTCTGAGTCTGTTCGGAGTTGAAAAACCACCGGGAAAGGGTCCAGTTGTGATGAACAGATGCTGTCTTGTGATGAAGAATAATGGAGACGATGAACAGTAACAGAGATCTAGTATAACAGAGATCTTCTCGGTCCAAGAGGTCCCCGGAAAAAAAAATCCGGTGGCGGCTGATGGCAGCGAGAGACAAAAAGAATAAAAGGTTCTTGTTCTAAAGACAATAGGCGCGGAAGCAGAGCCCTCAGGATCGAGAGCTCTGATACCAACTTGAAATAAAAGGGTATTTGAAATATTATTGAATCGTATTTGAATCTGTACATAGGGGTCTCTATTTATAGAGACTTCTTGACCTAATTTTGACCTAATGGGCTTGGCCCAATATACAAGTAACGGACTAAATAAATACAAATAAATGACTACATAATTACTAATAAATGACTACATAATTACTACTTAATACAAATAAATGTCTACATAATTACTAATAAATGACTACATAATTACTATTTACAACACAATCGACCTTCACCTTTACCCTCACAAGACGGGGAGCTTTGTGCATGTGTACTCGTCATTTCTATATCTTTTATATTGTTCTCATTTCTTGTTTCCCTGATAACAGGCATTCCAGAGGGACTCTCCCCTTGCTATTGACTTGTCAACTGCTATTCTCCAACTCTCTGAGAATGGGAACCTGCAAAAGATTCATGACAAATGGTTTAGTAATGAAAAGGAGTGTGCAACCACTAATGTTAGTCCAGACAAACTATCTCTGACAAGCTTCTGGGGTCTCTTTCTAATATGTGGCATTGCATGTGTCCTAGCTTTGATTGTATTCTTTGCTAGAGTGTTATATCAATATACCAAGTTCAGCCCAGAGCCTGAGGAGGTTGATGAGGAAACTCAACCAAACAGGCTCAGAAGAACAAGCAGAACTCCTAGCTTCAAGGACTTGATTGTTTTTGTAGATAGAAAGGAAGCAGAAATCAAAGAGATACTTAAGCAGAATAAAAAAAGGAGACGCAGCCAGAGCTTGGAGGGGATATCCAATTCACCTACCTAGTAACCCCTGCATTTTGATTGGTGTATTTTTTTTTGTTTCCCAACCAGTTCATTGATTACTCGAGTAGTCCGGTTCGAGCAGTGGAATATTGTAAGTTGTAGTTTTCCTATAGTCTTCTTAAATCAAACAACAATCTTATACCTTAGCAATTATAACATCAAGAATCTTAGAACTTTATAATTTTCACTGAGTTTCTTTTGATTTTTTAAAAGAACTTGAAGCTTGATTTTTATCCCTTGACGGCTATGGTGAGAGAGGAGAATATTGTTATTTCAAAAACAGGACCTTGTTTCTCGTTAAATAAGATAATTTCTTTAGGATGCTAACTTCTATCAAGTAATCTCATATTGCTCTTTTTTTTATGCCTTATTATAGTTTAGCTTTTAATGGTTTAATTAATTATTTATTAATCTCTGCATAGGTCACACTTTTCTCCTATTAACAACTTTGAATCAGTGACTTAATTGTCACACTTTTCCAATTTTTTTTTAATAAACGTGGCAATTTGGTCAAGTCTCAACAACTTTTCTCTAGATATTATGTTAGGAAGAGTATCTTGTTTCATCTTAAATTAGATAACTCTTTTCCATGTGCTAACTCAATTATAATATTTTTCATTATTTATTTAATGATCCTTGGATAAGTCACATCCGTCTCACATGCACTTGTCTTGCATGAATGTCATTAACACGGTATTAAAAACAAAAAACAAAATAAAAAATTGTTAGTTTTGATTTTCAAGTCATATACCTAGATTTAGACAATCATGTTTAATTGTACCGCAATTCCCATCCTTGTATGCGTCAATTGCTAAGCCTATGGTGGTCCTTTTATAAAGTGAGCTTATTATAAGAATACGAATATAGGCAAGGGTTCCAAGACCAGCATGTTCAATGTACCCTTGTGTTAATTAATGCGCACTGTGACATTTATTCAAGTGTTAACGTGAGCTCTTGTTAGTTGTCTAAGCCATTAGGGCAAGCTAGTGGTGAGAGGGGGGGGGGGGGATAATGGCTAATAAATGTTGCATTCGATTCCCATTGTATTAAAAAAAAAAATTCCACTTTTGATAACTTGGGTTTTTACAGACCCTTAATTTAGTAATAAACCATTCTCCTAAAAAAATAGGAAAAAAAAACAGCAAATTCAAGCTTGATGATCGGATCCTATGCGGTCATTACACTAATCTCCAAAACTATTTATATAATCATGCATTATAAAATCTGCAAAACCGCATTACTCATTGAATAATTTCATAACTTCACTGTATGTGGTTGTCTTTCTTAAGTTGCATAATTGAAAATGATTCATCAACTCAATGAGACCACTGCACATGTTTGGCATGGCAACACGTGTTCATTGATGTTGTCTTGTTCCTCAAAAGCTGCATTTTACTTTTCAACTCAAAATAAAAAATATTTTAATATTTTTTATACAATACACAAAAATATGTGAGATTCATATAAAAAAATAGAAAGAAAAAAATATTGATCCCATATATTTATATATATATATGTAAAATAAATTTATTTTCTGTAATATAAAAAATAAAATAAAAATTATAATACCCTCACTAACCCATATCCTCAATCATGAACTTCAGATTTTGATTTAGTCAACCTACAAAGAATACAAACAGTTAGGTACAATTCTCCTATAAATGAAAACCTTTCTCTAATCGACACTTGTCAAGGAAACACGACAAGAGTTACGGGTGGCACGAGAACATCTATGTGCAATTGCCATTTGGAAGGGTAATTGAACAGTCACTATCTCTATCATTAACAACATAAGCAACACAAACACCAAACAATTCTTCAATTTAATACTATTACGCTTTTGTCTCTCACAATTATTGAATAGAGATTCATGTGTTTAGAGTAAACTGAGAGGAAAAATAAATAAAAGAAAAAAAAAGAAAAATTGTAGCCACTAATAAATATATAAATTAATTAAAGAAAAATGCGGAACGAAATGGATAGGGTCCATGTTTTAACGGTCAACCGTGGCGTTAAAGTAGTAACGCTAACGTTGCTGAGAGCAAAAAAGTCGTTGTGAGTTGTAACTGAAAAGTGGAAACCTTTCACAAAAATCGAAAGAGAGAAAAGCGATATTCCGAAAATGCCCTTGCGTTTTCAAAAATATGAGACAACACATAACCTCGGTTTTCATTTTCATGGCTGAGAGGCTCACTTGTTGCACTTGAGGCCATCACCATTACGCACACTTACTTCCCCACTTTTCTTATTTTCTCCGAAAAAAAAAATTAAATAAAAGGAAAAATAATAAAACATGTCCCAGTTATGCCGGAAAGTTGGCCGCTCCTCCACCCTCCGGCGACGGTTTCAGCACCGAGTTTCCGTGCTCCGTCGATCCATCCTCCGTGTCCTCCACCGCTTCCTGCTCTGCTCCGGAAGGAAGCCGGCCAATGCCGTGTACACCATGCTGCCGCCGCATGCAGCATTGCCCTCGAGTCCTCCTCCGCCGCCGGCTTCCGCCGTTGAGCCTGGCCGTGAAACGGTGCAGGTTGCGCCACCACCTGTGTTTCACACACATGACATGGACTCTGATTTGGTTTCCTTGAAGATCACCTTGTTGGGTGACTGCCAAATTGGAAAAACCAGCTTTTTGGTTAGTGTGTTACTTTATATATATAAATACACAAATTATCATCATCATTTTTTAAATTTTTTTTTTTTGTTCTGTTAAATTTAATCTATAAATGGGTTGATCAATTTTGTTTTGTTTTGTTTTGTTTTGATTTACTTTATTTTAATTTTTTTAATTTTTTTGGGTTTGAAGGTGAAATATGTAGGTGATGAAAATGAGCAGCAAGAGCAACAGAGGAAAGGGTTAAATCAAATGGACAAAACTTTGGTTGTAAGAGGGGCACGTATATCATATTGTATCTGGGAAGTACAAGGTAGAGAGTTACACAAGATCTAATATTGTATTTGATGATTTTAAGAATGATTATTGATTGTTAATTCAATTATATGTATGTTTATTATCTATGCAGGTGATGGAAAATCAGAAGAACAAATTCCAATGGCTTGTATGGACTCTGTGGCAATTTTGATTATGTTTGATCTAACAAGTCGATGCACATTAAACAGGTGTCTTCTTTATTTAGGACCTAATTGCTAATCTCAGAAGAACTTTCCACCATTTTATTTTATTTGCTTTGTTTATTGGTTGTGGGTGTTTGATTTCAGTGTCCTTGGCTGGTACAAAGAAGCCAGGAAATGGAATCAGGTACATGTATATATCTTTTGGCATCAATGTTTGCTTAAACTTAATTGTATGTGTGTGGATGCAGAGAAGGGTCAGAATTTTATAGTTCTGTGTGCTTAATTTTTTGTAGACGGCAATTCCAGTGTTGATAGGAACAAAGTTTGATGATTTCATTCAGCTCCCTATTGATTTGCAATGGACCATCGCCAGTGAGGTAAAGATTCCAACTTCACCATTTACCATTAAAATTTGCAGTTCAAGCATGATCTTCCTCACAAGTCACAACAAAATAAGTATGAAATTCCTAGATCTATTAAAACAGAACCCCTCCAGGCTTAAAGAAGTATTTCATATACTATTTTAAATGAATCTATACATTATCATGGTGATATACATGATTTGACAATTTATTTTCTTTACAAAGTAAAATTGTATCTACAAAAAATAGTGTACATTTCTTAAAGCAACAGAAGACGAAATTTAGTCAGATTTCTTCTAGTGACTTTTGCAATTATTTTTATGCATAATCATGTTTTGGATAAAATACTGTTTGATTATAACTTATCAATAACTACCTGAAGCATCTAATAGTTTAAAAACTGCTTAAGGGGATTTTAGTCCAAGGCATGATTGCCTTGGAAGCCAACAGAATGATCTATTTGAAAGAGAAATCAAACCAAAAAACTTTTTAGTCCATGCTCTAAAAAAACCTCCTCCATTGGTTTTGTTTGTTTGTTTGATTAAGCTACTATTTAGAAATGGTTGTTTTCGGTTGCAATGTCGACTCAAGTGAAAGGGATTGATAGGATCTCTACCGATAACATACAATTTCCTAACACATTACTATCTAACCATTAATTTCTCTGTAGGGTAGGCACATAAATGATAAAGTTAATTCTGCATGCTCTATATGGTCTTGAACTTTTTACCCCTTTCAAAATTAAATGGGGTTTTGACCTAAGAAATGTAAATTTTAAAAAAATTCACCTGTTTAGTTTGTTGACCAAACATTTTATCGGACTAATGCAAAAAGACGCGTTTCAGGTGGTTACGCGTTTAGTCGCGCACCTGACACATACACGTTTCTTATAAATCTGAACACGTCTGTACCAGGTACGTGTCTAAACACGTCTGTACCAGGTGCGCGTTTCTGACTGTGATGCGACTATGCCACGAAATGTGTGCCTGAATATGACACATCTTGGTATTGTGCTCGTCAGACTTGTCAGAAACGCTCACTTGGTACAGACGTGTTTAGACACGTACCTGGTACAAACGTATTCAGATTTGTCAGAAACACGCACGTGTCAGGTGCGCGACTACGAGCGTAACCACCTGAAACGCGTCTTCCTGCATTAGTCCGGTAAAACGTTTGGTCAACGAACTAAACATGTGGATTTTTTTGAAATTTTTATTTTTTTGGTCAAAAACCCAAATCAAATAGAATCACCTGCATAAAGCATAATGTGCTACTATGGACCCCATATAAATATCTTTTATTTTTTTGTAAGTGTTGACCCCATCTTACATTATAAGATGACAGTGCATGTTAGATGATGATGGAACCTAAATCAAACAAGTCCATCCATACTCTTATGCCCATTTATTAACAAGCAAGTTATGCAATGCATGTTGGAATGCTATATAAGCTTTCTAAGATAGCAAATTTTAATTTCATCAAGATAAGATTTGGTGTAAGTGATGTGTATGACATTGAACAGGCAAGAACATATGCAAAGGCCATCAATGCCACGTTGTTTTTTTCGAGTGCAACCTACAATATCAACGTGAACAAGATCTTCAAGTTCATCACTGCTAAACTCTTTGACTTACCATGGACAGTGGAAAGAAATCTAACTGTTGGGGAGCCCATCATAGATTTCTAAACTGTACATTAAACATAGAAATGTTGGAGTCAAGTGTTCAAAAGTCAACCGGCCAACCAAGAGATGTGTAAGTAAATCACACTCTCTTGGGGCATTCGAGTTGTTAGGTTTAGACATGTTCATTTTCTATGGAAAAAAGACTCTTCATTAATCATCACCAACATCAAGGTTTTACAAGGAAAGGAATAAAAGCCAAGTGGGAAATAATATAAATTTGAAACAGAGGAGAAGGACTAAAGGTAACAAGAGCATGGAGCTAATGCATTATTCGAGTATAAATTAAGTCAATTGTGCCCTTGTCTTGCTATGAAGTATTTGGAGAATTAGATACCAGTTAGAGTTAGCCATTTACTGAATCTCCTTTTGTTTTGTTTTGTTTTGTTTTGTTTTTATTTTCTTCACCCCAGCTTTGAAATTCTTGTAATTCAAAGCTTCTTCTGAATAAATAAAATCATTTCATATGGTTCCCTTTTTCTGTCACTCTAGTCTCATTCGATTTGATAGCATTTCACTCATTTCCTTATTCTACACAATTTTAAGTATCAAACAGTATTCAAAAGTAATTAAATATAATTTTTTTGTGGAACTTACAAAAGAATATGTGTGCTGAATAATCCTTGGAAACAATCTACAGCAGGCATGTTTGCTAAGCTGATACTCGCTAATATGATAAAATTTGAGTTGCCATAACACAATCACGAAACATTTGGTAAATTATAAGGTGCTACATCGTTGCAAATTAGAATATCACTTACTAATAATAGGTCAAAATTGAATCATATAAAAATTTTAAGTTTACATTTTTCTAAAGAGTGGTGTTAATTATCGCGATTTTTTTCCACAAAAAATCTTATAAAATATGTGTTTACCCGTACCAAAATTTATAACTTGTGTGATAAATGATGTATAAGAAAATTGTGGGACGATCTTTTTGGTATAAGGTTAAGGAGTTTCACTTCTTATCTCAGTGTGGGGTTTTCATTTATACGAGGATTGTAATTTATTTGAAATTAATAATTAATTAATAGATATAATTCAATAAATTACAGTTGTCAGATAGACAAAAATCAAAGGTTAAGATAAAGGGTAAGATTTTTTAATTTTATACCGAAATAAAAAAAAAATCTTACCTGATTAAAACTTACTAATAAATAATTTTCTCTTTACCTCAATCATGTAAAGAGAAAATAGAATTAAGTTAGGAGGATATAAATTTAAAATTAAAATCACTAATAAAAATTGCAAGGATATACATTCGAAAATACAAAAGAAAAAACGGATTATAATAACAATGATTGCATAGATAAAACCTTCTTTTTATGATTATGTATTATAAATTTAATATTTTGTTTATCATATTTTAAAAATGGTAGGATATACTTACCACCAATTAAATTTACAATTTCTTACTATTAAATCTTAACCGCTGATTTCTGTCAATTTGATGCTTATAATTTATTAGAAATTAATAATTAATTAATATGTATCATCCAATAAATTATAACCGTCAAATTAATGAAAATCAATGGTTAAGATTTGGTGGTAAGAAGTGAGATGGTAAATGATTCCTCCCCATTTTAAAATAAGAGTTTAATTTTGATATATTGTTAATGTGAAAAATTGTATAATTTCATCATATGTTTTAATGAGTTTGGCTTCTCATTCTTATTAAATGAGGTGGTAATGCTCACTTGGATATAATAAATTAAAGAAAAATATTTTCTCATGTCGTAGGAGAGTTATTTTCTTCTAACAGTGATCCTTTGATTTTTGTGTAATATTTTCTTTTATTTTTTTATTTTTTTTAATAGATGTGGACCCCACATAAGATATGTCTTAGGATATGAAAAATTTTCTTCTACAAAAAAAATCGAAACCCATACACGAATACTTAATGCGGTAAAATATTGGTATATGAAGTTATATCTAATCATAATAAAATGTAACAACTAAGTATAAGTGGAAAATAATAACATCTAAACATATTCATTCTTCATCTATTTTAAGGAAATTATAATTATTAATAAAAATGTCAAGGAAATAATTTTATTTTATTTTATATTTATTTTTTGTAAAAAAAAAGACAAAAATTAAAAAAAGATGGATCCATACAAATCATACAACAACAATTCAAAGTCCAAATCTTGTGGAATTTCCAAGGCTCCAAGCCAAGATCCCTCTTTTGCTGCAACCCATTTCCTCTTTCATTCCTGCAATCTTCATCATCGTGTTTTGAGAAGCTAGAAATGGGTGTTGTGTGTAAGCTCATAGATGCTATTCTGTTTCTGTTTTTTTTGTTGATAGCATTGGTGGTTCCTCTCATAGATGCTCAGACATGTCTCCCTCTAACCTTCTTCCCTGACATCTTTGTCCAACTTAAGACATGGTACACCCATGAATATAACGATTACCTTGTCTCTGAGAAGCCCCATTTCTTTGTTGGTCTTGTTTGGCTTGAACTTCTCTTCCAATGGCCCCTTTCTCTCCTCAATCTCTATGCCATTTTAGCTTCCAAGCCTTGGTTCAACACCACTTGCTTGATCTATGGTGTCTCTGTCTCTACTTCCATGGTATTTACTAATTTCCTTTAAATTCATTTTTTTCTTATTCAAGTTTCTCCCTTTTGAATTTCTTATGAACTACCTTTTTTTTTTTTAATATTTTAATTGGATCACGCATTTATATGGATCCTGCAATGATATGCATGATTAGGCCTCTAAGTACGTTTGAGAGGAAGAGAGAAAACGGAAATTATGCCTTTTTCTGATGTTTGGATCAAGAAAAGTCAAAAATTGTAATGGCAGAGATGAATAGGACAACAGTTAATAGCAACCATTCATTTAGCATCAACACTTTTCTTTATAAGAATCTGTTGGTTGTTATTAGATTCATCCTCGTCCTTTGGTCTATAGTATTGTGCCATAGATTTCCATTTGAAGATAAGCTTGGTTTTACATTGTACTAGGAGAAGTGGTCTTATCTCTTTCCTTATGTTTGCATTTGTAGGCTTTAGCTGTTATGTTCTGTTAAAAATGATGATAAATTTGTCATCGATATGTCAATATATAATACAAAAGAAAATTGGGGTTATGCAATTTATAGCTTAGATTTAAATTTTAATCAGAACATATGGTCAAGGTATATTACATGGCTTTTCTAACAATCAGATGCATGCTAGGGCTTTACCCTCCTAAGTTGTGACCTCTGTGCTTTGGCTTTGTACAATGACATTTGTTTCCCCGAAGTTGGAGGTCTAATAGCCTCCCTCCCAGCCATAGGTGTTGTCACAATGAGATTTTGTTGCAGTTTGGATAATCTATGTCTTTGCTTTTTGTTGATACATTGGTGGGAATTGAACATATAACTTAATACAAATTACTCAAACCCCTCGCCACCAGACCAAACCTAGTGGCTTTTATGTCTTGCTTTTTAGTTTACATCTTTTGGTTATTTGTGGGTTGCAGGTTGCTATATTATCAGAAATGATGAATTCCAACAGGGCATCTGATAAGCTGTTGACAATGTATGTCCCTATTATGGGTATGGGTGTTTTAGCTACTCTGCGAGGGTTGCTGCCATGTTCTTCCAAGGCAAGTTCAGCTCTTGGCAAGAGATCTGTAATGGCGAGGAAAAAGAGAGCTTGAAATAGTAGTTATTGAATCAAACATGAGAAAATGGAAGGAGAAGCATAGTTGTAGGTGTGAAGGGATGAAGCATGCATTTCCCCATCTCCTCTAACCAAATTTCTAGTTTGTATTTAATTATTTGAGTTTCCTTTGGTTTCCTATCTGAGAAAAAGATTTTGTACCAGGTTGACTTCAAATTCCTTCATGTTGCATACTTAGCCATGAGAAGAAATAAAATGCTAACTATTAGATAATGGGATGGGTTAACCCAAATGATTATTCAAGATGATCAATAGTCATTAAGAGTGTAATTATTGTTTTTTTAGATTGGTAATTTTTTTAGCATCTACATGTGTATTCTGTTTGTGGCAATTGATTCAGATGCAAAATCAAGACAAGGAGAACACAGAAGGTAGAAAAACAACACATATAGATAGAGAAAGTGAATTCCCTACATATTTGTTATATGAATTGGCTTGGTGACATGAGGTGCCCCTAAATGTCGACTTAAAAGGTGGTAATCCAAAAGATTGTAAACTTTAAACTCTTATAAAGATATAAATTCATACTTTACTCTTTTTAACGCTAACTATTTCGATTGTTGACACAAAAGGGTTAATCAGTGATCTATGTGAAAGTGAAGGTTATTTGTCAACTGTTTTTTATTTTGTATACCTTACCAAATAAGAATAGCTTAATGAGTTGTTAACTTATTTTTCGTATTAGGGTATGTTGATGTATCTCTGTACAAACCCGAGCAAAATCATCAATGTCTTATATCAGTTTTCATATCTTTTTACATGTTAACAGAAGCCCTGACTTGTGAATGGACATAAGTCATGTACAATCCAGAATGACAAATTGCTATTCAATACTTCATAATGTTTTTTCATGTTTTGATCAGGCTCTATTACTAGTCAAAAAATAAAAATAAAAATTGTATCTTTCTTATGATATCATATGCTCGAAATGTACTCCAGTAGTACATATATCTCTTCCAAAAGGGATAAAAAATTTGAGATTTAGAGGAAAATAAAAATAAAAGTGTGGATTCAAATGAGATAAAATTTTAAAAGGAGTACCGTGTTTGGTACTCTGTAGTATCCAAAAAAAACCCCTTGAGATAGTAGAAAGCAACTGTATGCTTGACTGTCATTCTGAAATTTAATGCAGTTAATATTCAAAAACTTGTAAATACTAGGGAAGTGATAGCTATGCTCAGAAACCTCAACTTATTGTTTGTTGTCAGTCAGATTCTATAAGTTAAAATGAATAGGAATTCTATGTACTTCATGTGAATGTTAATATACATTAGAAACAATAAGTAACCAAAATTTATGGAGTTCCTTCATATGCCAATATCAGTACTATTGTAATTGTTCTCGATGAACATTAGTATGGATTCTCTTTAGTTAGTGTCTACCTGATCTTAGATATCTATCCCTTATATATATAGCTCAGCTTGGACGGTTACTATAGACGTGGGTGGTTACTGGTGTTAACGTGGAATCATGATAGGGCTCAACCCTGATGCCAATACGTGGGCTTTCACCCGGCTAATTAACCAGCCCCCAATAAAGGATCAATCCGAGTTCCCTCAGCCGTTATCCTCGGCCTGCTATACTCGAAGGTATGAACCCGGAACAGTAATGATTTGCTAATCATATTAAGCAATCACATAGAGAACCAATTAAGTTAATAATGAAAACAAAAAGAGAGAATATAATGGAAAAAGGTAACATGATGCTGCCTTCGTGCTAATAATCATTTTGGTAGTAGAGAAATTGCAACAGAGGAAGCTTTCTTAAAAGCCTAAAATGGTAAGATATTTGATGCATACCTTGACTTGGACAAATGACAGTCATAATTTCTAAATCTCTGCCATACTTGAGAATGTATTTCACCATAGGAACTTATAGAGTGATTAATTCTTTCATGAAGTGAGCTATGAATGGAGTCAAGAAGTGCCAAACATTACCCAAGCCCGTTGGTATGCGATTGTGTACACATTGCAAAACTTAGAAACATATAATTATTTATGCTTGTCTCTAACAAATCACCAGTTATAAGTCCTGTTTTTAGTTTGCTCTGCATAAGTAATTTACTTGGACAAACCAGTTGATAAGATGTAAAGTTCTCACACCATGTAACTCTTTTAGGAGCTTGAAGAACAACTCTCACATGGACGCATCAAAATAATGTCCAGAAAAACTAAACCACTATGGTTTGACACTTTGACATTTACAACTCAATTCCTAAGTATCTTTACTCCTGCTGTAAAACGAAGCTTTAACACCTATGCAGATCATACTTCGGACATTTGGGGCGTTGATTTCCATAAAATGATCCTCCCCATCCTCTGAAATTATCACCACAACGTTCATGTTCTAGGTAAAGATTTTGAAATTTAGAAAACAAATGCAAAAAAAAAAAAAAAAAACTTAGGGCTGTTTAATTGTGTTCTGTTTATTTTTGTTCTTAAAATTAATTTATAGAATAGTTAATAAAATATGTGTCTTTTGAGTTTTTTCTTATTTTGAAAGTTAAATATTTAAAAAAAAAACAATTGATAAATTATCTCTAAATTTGATTCTAAAAATTAAAAAACAGTTATAATTTCCAGAACTCTTTTTACAAAATAGACCTTATTAAAAAAAAAAATTTCATTCTAAAAATTAAAAAACTATTTTGTAAAACAAAATTCAAACAGGCCCTTAATTAATATAAATTAAGTCCAAAAGGTAATCAGGGTTCTCTAATGTAAAGAAAGACCACATTAATAATTTTATAGGTTTAGTGTGTGTATTTTTAAAGGATGTAAGTTGTGTTCTTTTAGTGACTTACACAAAGTCTGATCGGTCTTACTTTATGTAAATATGAAAAATTGTTTTTTTTTTCACTTTACACATCAGCAATGTGACTGAGGAGAGAGAAAAAAGCAACTTTTCAGATTTACACAAAGTATGACTGGTCATACTTTGTGTAAATCTGAAAAGTTAAATTTTTTTTTTACTTTACACGTCAGCGATATGACTAGGGAGAGAGAGAAAAAAAAGTAACTTTTCAGATTTATACAAAGTATGATCGGTCATACTTTGTGTAAATCACATAAAAGGACACAAACTTGTGTCCTTTAAAATGACTTCTTTTTCCCTAGTTCTATATATAATTGTGTAGCACGCTCTGTAAGAACCCGCACCGTTAATTAAGGAAATTAATTAATTAAATATGAGAATTAGGAAATAATTCCATAATTGACCCTAATAATTATCATGAGGCTTAAATGAATGTAGTAAGTGATTAAGAATGCTGAAAGTCATTTTTCTGACGAAAAGTGCAGATATCGGTTCTGCTAGTCAGTATAAATGCGTATCAAAATAGTATCCCGAAAAATTATAATAAGTGCATACTAATTCCTAGAATGATATATAGGACTTGTAAAATGAGTTTCAAGTTAAAATAATGAGAACTGGTGCCAGAAACTGATACTGGCTATGAAAAACGCGTATCGGAAAGGTGCTCCGAAAAATATAAGAAAAATATGATAATTCTTGTAAAATTGAGAAGGTTAAAAATTACGAGTTTAGGATTAAAATGCTAAGCGTAGCGATTAAAGTTAATACTGTGTGATTAGAACTTAAGTGGCTATATATAGCCTTGGCACATGATCCTAGGTTATGTTTCTAGCCTCCTTTGTTAGTTTTTCTGGTGCTGTGAGTCAGCCACCATTTGCCACCTTCTCCTCCATTTTTGTGAGCCAAGGAGCTTCCTTTCTTCTTGGTTTCCTCTCTTTTAACCTTGCAAACACTTGGGTGTGAACATTGGAGAATGTAAAAGGTGTCTTTTCTGAGTTGAGTGAGCTGCCTAGTGAGTTTAAGGTGCTGAGTTTTCTGAGTTGTGAGGTTGAAGCCTTGTCTTGTGTGTGTGGAGGCTCCAAGAAGCTTCCTTTGTGAAAAAAAGGTCAAGCTTTGTTAGCATTTTCGTGTCCTTTGCAAGTCTGAAGTGTAGAGGCTGTGTGGTGAGCTCCAAGAGTGTTTATTTGCTGAGTTTAAGTTTGGGTAAGCTTCATCACCTTTGATCATGAGTCTAAGTGGTTAAAAATGGAACCTTGATGTATGTAATGAGCTAAAGTTGATAACCTAACGTTGGGTAATGCTTAACACACTTAGAAATGCATGTGTAAGCTTATGTAATCGGTAAAAGTTGGACCTTTGGTTTGGATTTTCGCAAAATTCAGAATCTGGGTTCTGTCGTGAAATATCCGGATATTTTGTTGTGAATATCCAAATATTGATATCCGGATATGGGTATCCGGATATTGATATCCGGATATGGGGATATAAATATCCGGATATTGATACCCGAATATGCCCCCGACGAATATCCGGATATTCTGGGTTTGCGAGGAACAATAGCTTACTGTTCATCCAGAACTGATGTTTAGGGTTTGTAGACCCTAGTTTGAGGAAGTTGAACTTCTGTAATAATTGAACTAAGTCAGAATCAAGTGATTAAAGGCTTGAGGCTTTGTGAGGAGTCTAAAGACGTAAAACATAAAAGGAAAGACGTAGTCTTTATGTTTATGAGTATGGTTGTTGATATACTATTGGTCCATAACAGATTGTGATTCTGCTGTGTTTGGACTTTGAGCTGTGGACTCTTGGCTTGGATTGTTAGCTTGCAAGGTAAGCTTTTGTGTCCTCGGTTTAGCCATTGTCTGTTCCACCATACTCCATGGGGGGATGATTTATATGCATGATGTGTTTTCATGTATTGTTTTGATGAAATGTCATTGAACTGTTAAGTGCAAATGCTATATGGTATGTATGTGGTGTCCCGTCTAAACAGGATGCCATGGGGTATTCCTGTGGGCGGGTACAGCATGGGCTGACATTTATGTGGGTAATAGACGTATTCTTACATTTCTCTGATCATTAGAATTGTTATAACACACATGACATGAATATCTATTGCATTGCACTGATTTTGGAACTGATATTGAATTACTGCTTTTAGAACTTATATTGCACATGTAAGTGAGCTTGGGGTGGAAGATCCTTGAGGACCCCTTGTCTTACTGAGATTTCTTGTTTAGATCTAATTCAGTATTTTGTAATGCATTATATAATACTAGATAAGATAATAACAAAAACAGCTTTTAATAAAGAATATATATAATTCTTCTAAATATGTCATAAAATATTAATTTTTATAAAAATCTATCGATCGATATGCTCAAAAATATATATTATTTTTCATAAAAATAAATTTCTCAAATATTTTAAATATTAATATTTAAAAAATTAATTTTTTATTTTAATATATTAATATTAAAGGGAAAAGTGTTTGTCATTTTAAATAACAGAAAGTTATGTCATTTTAAGAGAGATACAGACACAGAAAATTTGAATTTTAAATTAAAAAAAACCACTCACTTTCTCTCTTCCATGATTTCTGTTTTTCTTTGTCTATCTCTCTCCTAAAATGACA